ATTCAGGCTGAGTTAGCTGAGAATGTCCAAAAATTCCAAACAGTTCTGTCACACAATCCTTAACAATGCAGAAACCTTGGGTGAGCTGACACCCCAGGAACTCAGAGCAGTGTGTGGAGCTCAGATAAGGAAGCAGGCCCTGCCCCCCTCCCCATGCTGGGCTCTGAGGAGGAGGAGGGAACAGGGCAGGAGGGAAGCTTGCGCTCACAACACAAGGCAGGGTGAAACCACTTCCTTAGACAGCTGCGAATAGCCGGGAGTGCACAGCCTCGGCAACGCCAGGCCCAAGAGGCAAGGTTATATTTCAGACAGCTCACACCTGTTAGCCGCTGCAAACAGGCGGCAGGTGGCCCTGGCAGGGCTGCTGACACTCACATGCGGTGCCATTTATCCAGCACTTAGCTACTGCGGACCAGACTTGCTCCCAATTCTTAGGGAACAGCAGGATACAGCGCCCACCTCAGGGCCCTCGGCAGGCAATGCCCATCAATGAATCAGAGATCCCTCTGTGCGGAGGACCTGGGTGAAAGAAACTGACGGTTTGCCGTTCTGGTCCTGGGCCGTGGAGAGCACTGTCCACCCTGACCGGCAGGGGGAAGCAGGGCCATGTCTGGCCAGCCGCATGGCTCTGGTTTTCTCAGAACTGCTTTCCTGCTGACCCACGTGCCGGCCACATGTTTGTGAGTGAGCCATCCTCTTCCTGGATGTCTTTGTCCTCTGCTGAGGTATACCACAGGGTACAGGGAGATGTACTGATCTCGATGTCTTCTTCCTGGGGCTAATGCTGCTGCTTTCCAAACCCATCCAATCCCTCATCTCCGGGAGAAACACGATGCCTGCTGGGTGGCAGGAAGGCCTCCAGGCTGTGCCCACCCTTCAGGGCAGACACGGCCTCTCCAGGCTTGTCCTTCACTGTCCCCTCGGAGGCCCTGGATCCCTCTGGCCAGCTGGAAAAGAGAACTCTTCGGCCTGGCAGGCACACACCAAGGTTCAAATCTGATCAGATTTAGGTCCGAGAGACCATGAGGCTGACCTGGGCTCGGGCGTGCATGGTTCTGAGGGGTCCATCCGCATCCTGCCAAAATGGGACACCAGTGCGGGCCAGGAGAGCGCCACGGTGGGGCTCCCCCGGGCACCTGTCCCTGCGTCAGAGGACAGGACGAGGCAGGAGAGGACAAGGCATCTGGATGAAGGTGAACCCTTGACCTTGGGCGGGTTCCCAGGCACTGGCTCTTCCTGTGTGCGGCTGGCACCACCACAGCGGAGGGGCGCCGAAGCATCTGTGGGAGCTAGCCACGAGGCTGTGGAGAGCAACTCACTCCCTCGCTCCCTCATCTAGCCCCCGCTTCACACTTCACATGACTGTAGGCACTGGTGCCACCCTGGTCTCACGAAGGAGCCGGCTAAACATGGATTTTCATCTGTTTTTGTCTTTTTTTCCCTACTGGCCCCAAGCCGCTCAATGCATGGTACTTTTCTCACGGAGCTAGAAAATTAGCCTTTTCCAGGCTCTGCAAATCCCAAGACTTTCCTTCCAAGGACATTTGAAGTGGGATCCTGCTGCAGAGCTGGCAGAGCTGCCACAATGAACGCGGCCCAGCCTGGTGCCCAGATGATGTCAGAGGCTGGGATGTGAACTCTGGGTTGGGATCTGGAAGAAGGGAGGCTGTTCGAGGCATATCAGGGCAAGCTCAAGGCGCTGTAGGGTTTCTCTGCCAGCCTGGCATGGGCACTTGGGACTGGCCAAGCAGACTGCAAGCTCTCTGTTGACAAGAGCTGGGCCTGCCAGCTCCCAGCCAGGCCCTTCGGTGGTGCACGCAGCTTCTCATAACACCGAAGCTCTCACCGAGTGCTCAGAGGAAGTGTGGTTGAAGGAAACAAGAGCAGTTCCTCCACAGGAAGACGAGACATGTGGAGACAGAGCCTGGCCCTCCCTGGCATCCTTCCGCTCAGTCTGTGATAGTGGAACACACCAAGGACGTCCCTTTGCAAACCTTTCTATCCAGACGACCTACACCAAGATGCTTCTGGGCGGCCATCGGTGACAAAGCACAACTGCGCTTTTGAATACACAATTAACTGAAGAGAAAAGAAGGAAGCCAAGAATGGAGAGACAAGTGAATGAGAAAGCAAAGAGGATGCAGAAACTGAAGGAAGAATGCTCTGTGTTTCCTGTCAGTGGACCACATGGGACCGAGAAGGGGCTGAGCTGGGTCACCACACACCTCCTTGAACCGTCGACGCAGGCCACTGCCTTGCCTTGTCCTGCCTTCTGTGTCCTTCTGTTACATCTCGTTCTACATGAAAAGGGTCAGAGGGGTAAGAAGCAACCCCTCGTCATCGAAGCAACCATCTCTTGGCAGTTAGAGGCCAGACTCTGGCCAGGTGCACTGTGAATGACCACTGACCACTGGTCAGCAGAAAGCTCGTCAACTTCTTCAAGTGTTTGTCAAAGGCAAGCACTGTGCTGTGTGCATGCCAGTGTTTAAGCATACAAAGTCCCCTAGGAATCTGTGATCTCCTCCCTGTTGGCGGAATAGTTAGGACTATGATTCATTCCACAGATGCCACCTGGCCAGCCGAGGCAGGACCCTGGCAAGTTCTAGGCCCACCTGGGCAACACAGCAAGAACCTGTCTCAAAATTGAAAGGGTGGCTGGGCGGTAGAGCGCCTGCTGCGAGTGCCCAGACTGGAAAAAGAAAAGGAGGAGTTGGTCCTCCTAGACACGACACTGTCTGCATCCTCAGGGGTCCCCAGCCTGCGTGGGAGACCAACTCCACACAGCCCGGTGCGGACACCTCATGCTGGAAGGCACAGCTGATGGGGAATGAAGGAGGGAGGGCACACGGAGAGACAGGAAGGAGTGGGGGCTACAGTTCTGTCACACCTGTGTTTCTTCCAAAACCTCCTGCAACCCTCTCAGCAATCTGAGGGGACAGAGGCTAAAAGTTCCAGAATATTCCCTCTCCCAATTTCTGTGCCTGTGATCTCCTCCCCCGGTATGTTTCTTCCTGGTGGGCATGGAAGGGGGGGGGGGAGTGGTGACCCTTGGTTATCCTTGTAGACATGTTATTGATTACTTTTGTCCCTCCTGGAATCCAGGGTGATTGCTAAGTGCAAGAACTTACGCTGCTCTTGCTGAAAAGCATTGACTCCTTACTTAGGGCAAAAATTAACTAAAAGCGCAAGGAAAGCTTAGCATCTCTGTCTCTATTTTGTGTATATTTTCTCTGTCTGCACTTAGCAATCACCCTGGATTCCAGGAAGGACAAAAGCAATCAATAACATGTCTACAAGGAGAGATGAAGGAAATTTCCCTAAAAGAGGGGACAGCAGAGCCTCCCAGGACTGCTTTTGATAGCAACTTCTCAGGAACCCCTGATCAAAGACCATATGTTAAACATACATTACCTCTCCTCTCTCTCTCTTTCTCTCCAACCCCTCTTCGTCTATTTAAGCTAAAAGCTCATGTCTATAACTGAGAAAATGACTAAAGGTAGGTTGAAAGATTTCCCACGACTGCCCAGGCCATGTCTAAATCTCCTCTTTGTGCCCTTCACCATCACCTTCTCTATTTTGTGTACAGGGGAAATAGCTGGGCCCAACATGTGGAATCCCAGGACTCTGGGCCTGAAGACTAAATCTCCAGTATATGAAGGAATGAAGGAATGAATGACCACGGTCTGGGATGCACTGGAGATACATACCAGATGGAAAAGGGAAGAAGGCTAAGAATCTGCCATTGACGGACTGACTTTGGGGGAGGGGCATCTGGTAATGCCTCTCTCAGAACCCGGCAGCAGCAGGCAGCCATGCCCAAGGGGAACTCACAGTCAGCAAGCATTTAGCCAGTCAGTGCCTACTATGTGCAGATGCAGGGCTGGGCCTTATAGATCCCTTTGAGACTGGTAACCTTGCTCCTCCAGCAGTGAAAGCTACGGATCAGCACTCAGTGATAGCCCTGGCTGCCAGAAACAGCCAGAAAAGTGAAAAACAGCTCCAAGGCCTTAGAAGCCAAAATGATGAGGAGCTGCTGATCGGACGTGCCAGTGGGGCGCAGGAAGGAAGTGTCCAGCGCCGTCCTGGAAGAGGCCTGCGCTGCAGTGTGGCCATCCCCATCGCCCCCATTAGGAAGGTGGATCTGTGGAGAAAGACCTCGAGCCCTCCGGGGTGCTGGCCTCTAAGGCCTGGCAAGGCCAAGCGTGACCGAACCCTCGGCCTCCTGTGTTCACACCGGAGGAAGTGCCTTCTGTGGTCTGCCCTCTGAAGGACTGGGTGACTCCAGAGCCAGCTGGAACACTGTTCATTTCCTCTAGCAGGCTTCCCGCCTGTCACACATGTGTGAGCTGCCTTCAACGTCATCAGCTAGCAGCTCCGCGCTGGAAAGGGGGTGTGTGTCTGTCCGTCTGCAAACGTCTTCTCACACTGCCAAAAGCCACAAGAAGCCTAATTCCCGGGTGCGGGCCAGGACCCCGCGGCCCGGCCGGACGGCAGGCCCGGGCCTGGAGGAGCCCCCATCACCTTCCCACCCCGGACCTGGGAACAGCCTGCCGGGTGCTGCAGGGGCGCTCGCCCCGTGCTCGCCCCGCGCCCGACCCCGGAGGCGGCGGGCCCATCCCTGGCTCTGCAGGGCCGGCAGCGCCTGGCCTCCTGCGTGGCCTGGACAGGGCTTTGGGGTGTGATTCGAACCCGCGGAAGCCGCTGCCCGGCTGGCGGCGGCGGGCCTCGCGGCGCCCCCCGCGCGCGCCGAAGCGACCCTTCCCGCGCCCCGCCGAGGCCGGCCGCCGACGCGCGCGGGCCTACAGGCCCACCCCTACCAAACATGGCGGCCGCGGAGACACCCCGGGACTTGCCCTTCACAAACATGGCCGACGGCCCGTCTGACTTCCGGTTCCGGCGTTATGCCCTCGGAGCCGCGCCACGCCCACCCGCTTGCGTAAAGAACAGCTTTGTTGGCTCTCGTGCCGCGCTGGGATTGGCCGTCGTGCGGTGACGTCAGATGCCGCCGCGGCGCGGGTTCAGGTCCGCGGGGCTGGGGCTCCGCTGGGAAGCGTTGGGTCCGGCGCAGGACGGCGGCGCGGCGCGGCGCACACTCATGAGGAACAGGAAGGTGAGGGCCGAGGCGGCAGGCCGGGAGGCGCGGAGGGGCGCGGGCGGCCGGCCCTGGCCTCGCCCCGCACGGAGGGGGCTCCCTGGCCACGCCCAGGGGTGGGGACGCCCGGGCACCCCTGGGGGCTCCCGGCCCCGCCCTGGCAGCCGGCCTTCTCGGCCAGGCCCCGCCCTGGGGTCCGGTCCCTACCCCGGACGGTCCCGGCTGCGGGGTGGACTGCGCGCCGCGCCCGGGGGTGCGCACGGCCCCCGCAGGGAACTGGGGAGAGGAAGCAGCCGGGAAGCGCTTCCGCCCCGGGGGAACGCGTTCAGCGCGGGCCCAGCCTGCCTCAGCCGCGCTGCGGCGGCGGCCTGGGGAGGGAGGGAGTGGGCCCTGCCACCTGGCGTTGGAGGACGGGGGGGGGGGGGGGGGGGGAGGGACGACTGTGTCCAGGCTGGCCTCGTTTGCCTTCTTCCTTGCCTCCACCTCTGGAGCGCTGGCACCACCGCAGTCGGTCACTTTCGGCCTGGCTTCCGGCCTTTCTAGCTAGTGTGGCTCCTGTAGACATTAACTGGATCTTTAAACAAACAAAAACCCCAGGCAGATAGTCACTGCCTTTTGGCTGAATTGTTTAACCCATTTACATTTAGTTTCGTTGATTGAGTAACATATGCCATTCTTGTAGTTTTCTGTGTGTCCCATTTAGTTCCCCTGTTCCTCCTCTGCCTAAGTGGATTTCATTGTACTTCAGTATTACCAGTGTATATTTTCGGGGAAAATTTTAACATTTTAACCACATCAACTTCAGAGTTGTGGGAGCTTAATTCCAGTGAGAGTCAGAAATGTTAGTAGCTCTTTTCCCTACATGCACTTTTTGTGTGATTTATGTATTATATCTATTAACATTTGCACCTAACAACAGTATTATGATGTATTATCATCTGCAGTAGCTTTGCTCTTATCCACAGTTTTGTTGTTTGTAGGTGTGGTGTTTCTGTACATATATGCACATTGTTGTGTACAGCTTCTTTTAAGTCAGTTTAGGATGTCATTATCTTGACCTGAATGACCCCCTGTGGATTTGGGTTGTTGACTGGGACCACTAGCATCAGCCTCAAGAACTCCTTCAGTATTTCTTGTGAGGTGAATCTACTAGCAACAACTTCAGCTTTTGTTCATGTGGAATTTTTCTTCCACCTTTATTTCTGACAGATACCTCTCCTGGCTACTAGAAGAGGGATGGTAGGGTTTTTTTCCTAATACTTTGTTGTGTTTGAATGTTCTCTCTGTAGCCTGCACTATTCTGTTGACAAGCCAGTGGTCCGTCCATCTTTTGAGATTCTCCCCACCACCACTCCCTATAGAGCAGAGTTCCTTTCCTCCTCCTGCATCCACGGTTTTCACCCTTATCTTTGACTTTCCAGAACTTTTACAAAAATGTGTCCATCTGTGGATATATCTATCTTGAGGTTCATTCCAAGATGTATAGATAGCTGTTTCCAGTAAATAGGAGTTTTCAGTTAGTATTTCTTTGGGTGTATTTTCTGCTTCCTCTCTCTCCTCTCTTTCTGGTAGTCCCTTCACATGTATGTTGGTATGTGTTAGTGTTTCTGAGGCTCTCTCCATTTTTCTTCACTGCCCTGTAGTCAGGGACACGGTTACACTGACCTGCAGTTAGGAGCAGGGTTGCGCTGATTTTTAGGGTCAGTGTTGCGGTCTGTAGTCTTGGAGACAGCTCCTTTGCATTCAGGGTAAGTTGACAGTTTGTTGACAGTACGATTTCTGAGGTTGGAGCTAGGCAGACATTCAAGCTCAGTGTCGACCACCACCCTGGGTTCTGTCCCCAACACTACAGAAGCTACCTGCTTTAAACTGTAGGATTGGGACTTTCAGAGAAGGGTTCTGCTCTTTCTTGATACCTTGTGTCAAGAATTTTATCACCATATAAATGTTTGAGAGGCATCTAAGAAAGAGCATGTATGGGGGCTGGGAAGGTGGCTCAGTGGTAGAGCGCTTGCCTTGCATGCATGAGGCCCTGGGTTCAATTCCCCAGCACCACATAAGCAAAAAGAAAAAAAGCCAGAAGTGGCGCTGTGGCTCAAGTGGTAGAGCGCTAGCCTTGAACTGAAGATCTGAGGGACAGCACCCAGGCCCAGAGTTCAGGCCCCACGACCAGACCCAAAAAAAAAAAAAAAGAGCATGTATGTACTGTTTACTGTGGGTGAGTTCAGCTGGTTAGCATGCAAACACTGGTTTCTAGGAACAGGGACAATAGGGGACAGATGGTTCTAAGGCCCCCAACCCAGAAGAGTTGGATCTAGATGGGAACTTTGAGGCTGTAGCTGCCTTTCCATTTTCATGGAAGTCATGCTGGGGTCAGGGGCTGTCTTCAGGAGTCATTCTCTTGATCTGGGAACCTTGCAGCCATGTGTGCTCCTGTGGCAATGTTGTCTGAGCCGTGGTCTTGTCTGTCTAGCTCACAGGTGGAGTGCGGTCTTCAGCACGCCTGAGAGCCCGGAGTTGTTCTGCAGCCAGCTTGGCCTCTGCACAGGACGTCGTTGGCTCCAACTCTGCCAAGACAGCATGTCTGGTGAGCCTGGTTCCCAGGGGAATGCCCACGTCCTGGCTGGGGGATTCATTTAACAGTTGTCACCAAGAAGGATTGCATGAAATACATCAGTGTTGCTCCTTCACTAGAGGGGACAGTTCAGAGGATGTGAGGCAGTGCTGTTCCTGCCTGCAGCCAGCCACTCTGCAGCCCAGTGCAGCTGTGCCCTTTGAAGTGATATAGGTCTGTTTCCACACTATTCACTCTGAAGGCTATGTGTGTATGTGTTGTGTGTGCGCTGGTACTGGGCCTTTAACTCAGGGCCTGAGCACTGTCCCTTAGCTTTTTTGCTCAAAGCTATCGCTCTACCACTTCAGCTACAACTCAATTTCCAGCTTTTTGGTGATTAAATGGAGATGAAAGTCTTACAAACTTTCCTGTCTAGACTGGCTTCAAACTGTGATCCTCAAATCTCAGTAGCTAGGATTTGAGGCACCTGCTGAACCCAAAGGCTCTTAGAGGCTCAGGGATGAGGCCAAGGCCTTTCACATTCTGCCATGCGGTGCACTGTGGCTCTTGAGCTAGACCAGTCTCATCCCTATACTTGGTAGCTGGGTCTGCTTCTCCACCTCAGCCAGGACCCGGGACATAGCGGTACACCACACTTTACCCATGGAGCTGCCGGTCATGCTTCATCCAAGGCAGTTTACCAAGGGTTTGCTGAGCACTTAGAATGCAACAGGTCTTATTTGGGGACAAAAGCAAACACCTATGCCTTCGTATGACTGGACTTTTCAATTACAGTCAAGAAGCCACAGCCCTGGGAGGACTGGGTGTTGGGTGTCTCTGGAGTCATCTTGGCCAGCTGTCAGCTGGGACTCAGCCCTCGGGTGGCAGCGCAGAGATTGGAGCTGACGCTCCAGCTCATCCATGTGAGGTGTGAGGACAGGAGCCTCCAGGGAGAGATGTGTGGCGTGCCTCCATGGTGGGGTTCTCTCTCTCCCCTGGCAGATCACCTCATCACACAAGGCCCTAGACAGAAGAACTTCCAAGAAGTTCAAGTATGACAAAGGACATCTTGTGAAGGCCAAACTGCAGAAGCTAGTGCCTAAAAGGGACGGCACTTTGCCTAAAGGGGCCCCCAAGGCCCCTCAAGAGAGCGAATGTGCAGAAGGCGGCGTGGTGCTCCCCACTGGTGAGACAGCTGTCCTCCCCCAGCAGGAAGCTGCAGCTCCTGTCCACAGCCCCAGCCCAGCCGCGAGCGACACTCACTCCACAAAGACTGAAGATAGCCTGGCCACCCGGGAGCCCAGCCCCGGTGCTGGCACGGCGGCGGAGGCCTGCGGCGGTGCTGGCAGGCAGGCCCGGTCAGCACCCGAGGTGGAGGAGGCGCGGGCACCGCTGCTTCAGATGGACAACAGTGCGTTTCAGGATGAAGACAGCAACCAGCCCATGCCAGTGAGCCGGTTCTTCGGGAACGTTGAGCTCATGCAGGTAAGTCCCCCCTCCTCCACTCCTCCCTGCTCCTCCCCAGGGCTGCTCAGGCCACAGACCAGGCAGGCCTCAAGCCACGCAGCCTCGCTCATCACTCACAGATAGAGTCCCTACACAGAGTTAAACGTGAATTAATGATGTTGCCACAAGAGGAGAGACGATGCAAACCGGGAGTACTCACCCAGCCCAAGACCCCCAAGAGGACAGCTGCCCCCATCAGGAAAGCGTGGGGGTGGCTGGACCCATGGCAGGGTTAGGAACAGCCATCTGCTGGTTGGGGACAACCACACTTCTGTTCGGAGTCATGTCTCTGGTGGGGGAGGCCAAGTGCTTGATTGATGGTTTCCACACATAAAGGCGCCACCCCCCAGGGCTGACCCAAGGCTGACAGGCCACCTGCAAGACTCAGGGCCAGTCACGTGCAGTTGTGGATCGGTGCCCGCGCAGTGTCACTTAGGGCTGAAGTCTGTGTTTTCTTTCCCCTCCAAGGACCTGCCACCAGCCTCTTCAGCTTGTCCTTCAATGAGTAGACGAGAATTCAGAAAAATGCATTTCAGAGCCAAAGACGATGAGGACGAGGACGAAGTAGAAATGTAGGGAGCACAGCAGTGACTTCGTTGCATACTTGGTACAACTGAGGATTCCAGGATGTAGGAATTTGTAACATTTTTATAAAATCTATCTGCAAGACAGTGTGTTCTTAATGGGACTTGAAAATTGATGCCTAGAAGTACAGCACGCAGAGCAGGGTGCCTGAGGTTTCCTTGCGGGTGAGGGCGGGGCTGGGCCTCCGGTGAGAGCGAACTTCGCCTGAGCTCATTGATTTTGACAGTGTACAAAGTTTGTGTCTGCTATCAAAGTCTGATCATTCTTGAGACCAACTTAAAGCCAGCTCTTAAAGGACTCTCCTCTCCTTCTGAATGTGAAGCTAATACTTACCTTGAAAAATTTTTGCAAGAGATATATGGGGAAGAAATAAAATATATTTTGAAAACCTCTTAATGAAGCTTTAGATTCCTCTAAAATCTACCTCCAGTCTTCAGTGTTTGTGAGTCCAGGGAGGAAATGAATCCCACTGTAGGCTGGGACCCTGGGGCAGGCTCTGGCATGGCCATCTCCCTGCTCCAGGCATTCAGTCCCCCTGGACTCCCATCTGGAAGATCATCCCCAGCCCCCTCCTTGCTTTGCAGAGCCCTCGGACGGGAGGGCAGACCTCTGCCTGACACCAGCTATGCAAGAGGAAGGAGCCTGGACCCCCAGATAAGTGTAGGCCAGTTATAAAGACTTCCTGACACGCAGGGGGAGCATGTGTGGCTGGGCACCGTCCGAGGCACACCCAGGTTGAATGGGAGCAAGATGTCCAAGTGCTCTGGAAGCAGAGACTCCCCAACTCTCACTGCTCAGAAACTGTAATCAGACCAGGTGCACTGGCTCACGCCTGTAATCCTAGCTACTCAAGAGGTAGAGATGGGAAGGATCCACGTTTGGTTTGAGGCCAATTGTAGAGACCCCCATCTCAGCCAGTAAGAAAGCGAGATGTTGTGGAGTGTGCTTGTCCTGTCATCCCAGTTACTTGGGAGGTGTAAACAGGAAAACCATAGTCTGGGCCGGCACAGCATTTACAGCATGAGTATTAAAGCCAAAAGGGCTGGAGGCATGACTCAAGTGGTAGAGCACCTGCCCTGAATTCACACTAATATGAAAAAGAAACCCACTCTCCCTGCAGGTAAATTTTTCTCTAGTCATCTTCCCCTTAACTGTGATCAATAATCCTGTCATTGACTGATTATCTTATCATTGGAAGCTGTTGCTTGTCCAAGTCCTCTTATGAGCAAGGTGATGGCTTCTCAGAGTGGAGAACTCTGTCAGGGTTATCAGTCCTGTCTGCGGAACTCGGCACGCAGCTTTGAGATGCCGAACTCCCCCCACAACACCCCACCGTGCCTGCAGAAGATTCCCACCAAAAAGAGAAGAGGAGCTCAATGCCTTTGGGGCCACCCTGTTCTCTCGCCATCCAGCCTACGCTCACAGACACTAAGACACTAGCGGGTGTGTCCGGGCAGTGATCAGTGCCTCCTAACTATCCATGCGGCATCTCCAGAACCAGCCCTAGGAAGCGGAGGTGTCACCTTGACAGAGGATCCCGTTTGGACTCCCCTAGTGTTGAGACAACAGACCTAAGTCCCTGGTCACTGGCAAGGTCCCCTAGGAACACAAATGTCCAATCAAAATAGCACAAGAGGGGCAGAGAGACTGACGTGACCCTGTGTGTACTCAGCTCCGATGGCAGTGTGGCGACTCAGAACCAAAGCCTCAATATAGCGGACATTAAACGCAGTGGTTGTGAAGCAGTTGCACTGCACTTTTCTGTCTGGGGTAACTGTCATCTCACAAATGTGTGTGAAGTATCAGTAGTGAACACTGCATACTTTCACGGGACACATGCCAGGACAGACCAGTGAATGAATGCCTCCTGTTCTCCCTGACGCTGGGACATGGCCACAGCGAACCTGGACCCCACCCACCAAGTCCTGACACACAGCAAACCATGAACACTGTTGGCACCAGCAGGAGGGCCTGATGAGGCCAAGCACAAGCTTCCCGGTATCCCCAGGGAGCTGCAGAGACCTCCCCCTCCCACCCCACCTCACTCACCCCCTGGCCAGCCAGGAAGCTCAGCACAGCCATGTGCTGAATGCACTGAAGGTCAGTCATTAGGTCTGGGCGCCTTGTGAGGACCTTCCTGCTCCCACCCACTGTGGGGCAGGGCACCTGAGGGCTCCACCCCCGCAGGCAGGCTATCCTGAAGAAGGCCCCCTCTCCCCCGGTCCTCGCTGCGATTCAAATAGCCCTTTACTCTAACTGCAGTCTAGTCTGGCTTCTGACCCCTGTCAGCCTTTCCCACGCCTCAGTATGCCTGGCCTGTTCTGTGGCTCCAGGAGCGTTGGCTCCTCCAAGAGCTCTCCTCTGGCCTCTGCCTCCACCTCCTAGGGTACGGGAAGGCTGGGATCTCAAGGTCGGACTCACTGGACTGGAGACAGCATGGCACAGGCCAGCGGAGAAGCCTGCGAGACCACGCCAGCTCGTGCCGTCAGCAACCCACGGCTGAGGCTGCGACCCACCCCCACACGCTGTGCTTTCACATCCCACTGCAGGACAGGCCTCCGGGCGCGCTCCATGCTCCCGTGAGCCTCCCTTGCTTGCAGTCCTCAAGAATGACCTTAGAATGTGCTAGGTATGCCACATCCCGAGGACTGGCCAGAAGAGCGGACTCCGTCTTCTGGAAGCCACGTGGCCTCCAATGCCTGGCCCCAGAGCAAGTATTAGGGAACTCCATCTCGGGAAACAGAGAAGACACCACTTAGGAGGCAAAATTGGGAGTCTTGGAGAGCCAGAGGACTGCTGATGGACTCCTGTCTCAAGGACCAGTAGCCTCGAATGAAGCTAGCACAAAGCTTACATAGGCCAAAGCCACATAAGCGGTAAGGAATTTATCCTAACAAAAGGGTTATACAGGGCTGGGAAGGAGGCTCAGTGGTAGAGTGCTGGCCTTGCATGCATGAGGCCCTGGGTTTGAATCCTCAGCACCACCTAAGCAGAAAAAGAAGCGCTGTGGCTCAAGAGGTAGAGCACTAGCCTTGAGCTGAAGACTGAGGGACAGTGCCCAGGACCAGAGTTCAGGTCCCAGGCCCCACGAGTGACAAAGGGCTGGGGGGGGGGGGTGAGGTTTATACACAGCAAAGTGAGTCCTGGAGCCCCTGGGTAGGGAATCTTAAGGCAGCTGCTTCTTGGGGTCTCGGGTTAGTGCAAGGGAACATGAGCAGTCAAAGCTCAATCTGCCCAGGGCAGCTCTCGAGCTGTGGAAACGAGCTCAACAGGCCTCTACTGCTGAGAAAATCACTTTCTGTGTGTGTGTGCATGCTGGCTGGCTCAGACTCAGGCACATGCCTGTTATCCAACATGGGCATGCCCAAGCTACCCACTCCCGTCCCTGTCTGGAGGTTCACCCCTCACCTGTAACCCCTGCTCCGCCCGGCTGAGGCCCCCAGAGCAAACAAAAGGCAAGGTCCCAGCCCAGCCAGCCTGCAGCCCTGGCCCAAAGCTCGGTTTTTCTGCACAAGCTTGTGCCTGGATCTCACAAGCCAGGCTCAGGGAATGGGGAGGAGGGGCGAGACCTTCACAAGGCTTAGTAACGGGAAGCTCCAGCAGAGGGCAGGGCAGAGGCCCTGGTGTGGTGTTTGAGAGGGAAGGAAAGGCTGGTCCTGACAAAATCACGTGAAGAGACACAGGTGAGGCAGGGAGGCGGGAACTTTCAAGAGCTCCACCCAGCTGCTGGCTGGGGCTTCAGGAAGCAGGACTCAGTCAACCATTGACCTCAGTCAACCATTGACCTCTGCCCTCTTTTTTTTTTTTTTTGGTCGGTCCTAGGGCCTGAACTCTGGGCCTGGCACTGTCCCTCAGCTCTTCAGCTCAAAGCTAGCACTTCTACCTCTAGAGCCACTTCCAGCTTTTTCTGCTTATGTGATGCTGAGGAATCAAACCCAGGGCCTCATGTATGGAAGGCAAACTACCCGAGCCACCTTCCCGGCCCCCCACTCTGATTTTTATAACCATTCAATGAATGCAAACTTTGACATGTCTGTTTTGGACACTTTATTTTTCTGATTACATAATGAAAATAAAAATCTAAGTATTACAAAATGTATGGCTTTAAAAACACAATGTTATAACATAATCGTTTCTTTAAAAAATGTTCAAGTATAACACAGTACATGACATAGGAAATTAGTCATCGTACTCAGATCCCACCCCTGCCCAGCTCCTTATGTGGCATGCCCCTCACGACTTAAAAAACCAAGGGACTAGGGTTTCTGTGGCAAAGTACCACCAGCAAGCACACCGCCCTGAGTTTCAACCCAGTACAGGCAGACACAGGCACAGAGCTAGGGCTCAAGCACTCCACAGCTCTGTTTCCACACGCAATAGGAAAAACTGGCATGCCAATGTGTAAAGCTGCTACAGCTTTGCTTTATAAGCATGTATTTGGTTGGACCATGAAATTAAATATATCCAACCCATTTTTTAGCTATAAAAACAGGATTTCGCATGGCTCAACACAATGCCACAATCAGCTATTCCCACTGAGAGATCTAGAACATTTCTGCCATGATGCTATTCTAAGCAATCTAGCAGTGGAGCAGGGAGCAGCAGAGAATTGAGGCCCTCGTGCCACTCAGCAAGCTCAGCCCGGTGCTCAGGGATGTGGAGGTCCTTCGCAGGGGCACGCAGCACAGCTGTATCGGGGAGAAGGCCCCTGAGTTCTAGACCACTGCCCTGACCACCGGGAGTGCACCCCAGAGCTGCGCTTGGACGTTGGGCTGTCAGAGGACGTGGGAAACAGACTGAGAAATGTACCGATTGCCCCTGAAGGGAAGATTTCTTAAGTTTCCCCAGGAACTACTGAAGTGATGAGATGGCCTGTCACAGGTCTGCACAGGCCCCGCACACGGCAGGCCGGCCCTCACCGGCGTTTCCGAGCTGGCCGCCGCCGCCTCCTGGGCCCAGTCCCAGCTCTGTAGATCCTGCTGTGGTCACACTGGAGTTTGTGGATGGTTTTCTTGTGGCAGGCGATGTGTACTAATTTCAGGTTCTCCAAGGTGAAGAGCAGACCATAGAAGTACTCCCAGTCCACCTCCCGTCCGCCCCGCTCCTGGAGTGCTTCAGCCAGCGTGGGCACAACGGTGCGCTTCTTCTCTATCCTGCAAAGCCCGGGTGGAGACCATCCCTCTGCGATCACGGTGCCACTGCCCCTGGGGCGCTCTGACCGGCCACAGGGACTGGGCACGCCTCCTCCGAGCCCAGAGATCCGCATGGTAAGGCCTCACTACAGAAGGCCCACTGCAGAAGGTCTAAGATTTCTACAGGAACCACAGCTGGAAACATCCCAGAAGAGCCAGGTGGAAGTAAAACGGGAGTCGCTGAGCCTCTGGCAGAGCTAAGACGCTGTTCCTCATCACAGGACCTCTGAGCAGAGCCCACGCAAGCCACGTTCACCTTGCATGTTAAACCCTGATCTGTGGGCATTGTTTAAATGCGGAAAATGCAGGGGAAAAACATTTCATCCCCAGCCAGGCACCGGTGGCTCACGCCTATAACCGGAGCTGCTCAGGAGGCTGAGATCTGAAGATGGTGGCTCAAAACCAGCCTGGGCAGGAAAGTCCATGAGACTTACCTCTAATTAAACACCAAAAGCCAGAAGTAGAGTACGGTTCAAATGGTAGAGAGCTAGCTTTGAGCAAACAACTCAGGGACAGCACCCAGACCCTAAATTCAAGCCCCAGCACAACACACAAAAAGAAGTATATTGCCTTCCTTCACAATCACCCACTATCCACAATGTGGCTTGTGGTTGTCTCTTTTCATCTGTATGTAGATGTACACAGTAACATGGACGCTTTAAGAACAGAGCTTTACTAGTAAAGCTGAAGTCCCCGCTCTCTAAGTCATGCCTCTGCTGGCTTCCTACGGGCATGATGGCAAAGGCTCTGACCTTGCTACTTCTGTGTGTGATTCTGCTTGCAGAGTGCTTCACTGTTTCAAACACCTCAGGGACCGAGAAGTGGCACGTGTGTGGGCTGCAGAGCAGCCCAGGCAGCAGGAGGCTCGCAGCAGGGCTGGACAGGGCCCCGGGAAGCACTGGAGAGGGGGACCTGGACCAGGGCTTGGAGGAGAAAGAAGGGAAGCCTCACCATATCAACCATCAATGCCCCTTCAGGAGGCATGAGATGCCGGCCTGCCTGCTCTCCTCCTGCCTGCCTGCCTAACTCTGCTGCTTTTCTGGACCACCCAGGGCGGGTCCTTGGCCCCCGCAGTCCTACATCCACAGAGCTGGGCCATGCGCCTCCCACAGCTTGGCTGCAATCCAAAGGCAGGCCCCAGTGCGCAGCCACTGCGCCCCTGTGTCCTCTTTGCTGGTGTCACATGCCACACCTGAGCTCAGGGAGGGGCATTCTGCGTGTGGTTCCCATATTAGTCTGTGTGGTGCCTGAGACTGAACCAGGGCTCTACCACTGAGCTGTCCTCAGTCCTTTGTCAAACTTTATCTTGAGGCAAGTCTTGCTAAGTTGCCAAAACTGGCCTCAAACTGGAAATCCCCCACGTGCCAGGGCTGAGACAGCCACTGTCATCACACCGGGTTCCTGCCATTTCCAGACTCTAGGCCTGCGTCCTGCACAGGCACCAGCTCCAAATCAACGGCACTGATGTGACACAGGAACAGCTGGGCCCGCTTCAGAACCACAAAGCAAGGCATCCACTGGGAATAGATTACAAGACCACTGCATGGAGACATCAGGAGGTAAGCACTGACAGAACCACTTCCAACACCTGCCACAGGACCCTCACCTCCTACACCTGCCACAGGACCCTCACCTCCAACACCAGCCACAGGACCCTCACCTCCTACACAACCACAGGATCCTCACCT